ATCTGTTATAATACTAATATAAGGAATAAAGATTGTGACTCCCTTGTAACAAGGCAATTTCTTAAATATAATAAAAAGTTCGTTGAATTTAATATATTGATTTGATTTTGATTAATTCTCATAATTGTTATTAAATTCTTTAAAATAATATAAGAACTTACATGACCACCCATGGATATTCCTGTGATGGCTAATGGGCCAAAACCTTGTGCTTCACACCAATGAAATAATGCAAGTGATTCCAAAACAAGACAACCTCCCATAACAAAGATATCAGAAACATTATGAAGACTAGAACGTCTGAAAATAAACGAATGTAATTGCCTTTAGTTGTTAAATTAAAGATATGAGTCAAGAATAATTTATAAAATATGGAAGATATAATAAATATTAAAGTTCAAATTCAAAAACAGCTATACATAATTTAAAATTAACTATAAATATCTTATCAAATTATTAAAGTGAAATAGGAAATTTGGAGTAATGGATTTAAGTTGATAATCTCCGGAAAAATGTCTCAATCAATCTGCTAGCTGAACAAATTCAAAAATGAAAATAATAAAAACTTTCAATAAATTTTCTAAAGAATTTTATAAATAGTTATTTATTTATTTAGAAAAATACTGTAGTCTATAAATATTAAATTAGTCAAATGTTATTTTTTATTAGTATTATTTTAAAAAAACAGTTATTTACTTACATTTGATTATTTGGTTTTCTTAAACCATGTATTCAAGTTAAAGAAATTTTTCACTTTGAAAAAATTAATTTTATTAAAAAAACTAATTAATATCACATTATAATGATATAAAATTATTAAATTAACTTAAATTTAAAAAAAAAGGTTTCATGAAAGAGTATAAAATGGATTCTCCAAAAGGATGGAAGCAATTCCGTGTTTCAGCAGAGGTTTGGCCATGAGTATCCTCCTCCTCCAAAAAAACTAAAAAATATTTAAAATGTAGAAATAATAATAATATTAATAAAACATTAAAACTAAAATTATATTTAACATTTGTAATTATTTATTTATTTGAAGAAATAATATTTGTTTAATCAACTTTAAAATTAAATGTTAATGAAATTTACATACATGATCACCAGTTCCTGCCAAATGTAGACAAACAGGTTTTAGATGATTTTGTGGCCATTTTGTGGGTAACAGCATTTGAAACCTAAAAAAGAGGATAGTCATAAAATAATAAATCAAACGTATTTACAATCTATAATACTATTACAAATGCTTAACTCTTGAATATCAAAATACTAAATATACTGTTTTAAAAAATAATGAAATGTTATGTTCAGTACTAATGCTAAAGTAAAGTGAATTTTAGTACATAAATTTGAATAAATATTGAATATTTCAGTATTTTTATAAAAAAGAAAAAACACATATGAATCTAAAAGCTTGAGTTTTTCCATTACATTAATTTTATTTAAGTCAAATTATATGGAAAATAAAGGCTTCTCATTATTTTATCATTTCCTAAAATGATCTTTTTTGTCTGATATGTAACTATATCTACACTAAAATAGTATTATTGACTTCATTATAACTTAAAATATAAATTATTTTTAATACACATTTTTAATAAATATTTTGTAAGTAAATATTTATTAAATATTAGGCTTAGATTATTATTTACATAGTTCGATTCAGCAGCAATTGTCAAATCAACTAAAAATTTGACAATTGCTGCTGAATCAAACTATGTAAATAATAATCTAGGCCTAATATTTTACACAAAACTAATTTCAAGTCCATTTTAAATAAAAAATTTTTACTGATATCTTTTATATTTCATATTTCATTTCTGCTATGCTGTTCCTTCACCATTTTTATTTATTGCATTTCATCTGTTATGAACAAAAGAAATTATTTCTTGCAAAGAAGATACTTTTGATACACAATATTTTGATTTCTATTTTCATAAATGAAATCAAATACTATTTCTTTGAATGCTATCTTGCTGAATAAAACTATTTAATATGCTAAGGAACTATATAAATAGTTTTTCAAATTAATTTCACAAGCTAAAGATTGTTCTCATAATCTTAAAAAAGGATAAAATTGATTTTAGGCCAAAGTTTAAAATTGATGATTACAGAAATTAGAAAAACTANATCTTACCAGCGTAGAGGTATGAAGGAGTACATATCGAGAGTTGATATTTGGCACAGAGTATTAGGTGCCCAAATCATTTGCGCATAAAAAAATCCAGACTCATAGGTAGTCAGGGGACCGAGAATAGAGTCAAAATAAAATAGAAAATGGTGACCCTCTTCTACAAACAGGCAAAATAGGCACCTCACCCCACCAAAGTCAGGTAGGGGAGAGTACCAACCACAGTCATTCTAAGAAGTGAACTCTGACCTTAGGACTGAACACATAGTTTGTTTTATGTTAAATAAAATTTGTAATCTAATTTTGTAAATTTGGGAGTGCTTCAAATATGACATTAAAACGATTATGTCGTTACAAATGGATTTTTTTTAACATTATCTAGTATGGTAAGATTGTAGGACCAATAAAAATTTGACGTTATATTAGGGTTGTCGTTACATTCAATGAAATTATAATCAGGTTAAACTGTATATTGTTTGTGCAAAATAAAAAATAATTTTGGACAATACAATAGCCACGATTATTTTTTTCAAAAACAGGAACTTTTCGTTACACATCGACAAAAATTCAACCCGGGCCAACACGCAACAGAGAGAAATTTTGAAATTAGATAGGTTAATTTCATTGAAGATGCATCATGGATGATCTTGTGGTTGTGGCCGGCGAAGTTTGAACAATTGCGCCCAAAAGCAGCGATATCAAAGAAGATAGAAGAATGAGAACGAGACCTGCCTTGAGCATCAAAGTGATTCTGTATCCGAGACATAGTCTTGTCCCAAATATGGTTTTGCCATTTTACTTGTTGCAAATAAAACAGAATAAGCAAAAATTTCAAAAATCCTAATTTGAATACATCAACATAACTGACGTTTCAACATTTAAACATTTAAACATATATGATGTTTAAATGTTATGTTGATGTATTCAAATTAGGATTTTTGAAATTTTTGCTTATTCTGTTTTATTTGTAACAAGTAAAATGGCAAAACCATATTTGGGACAAGACTATGTCTCGGATACGGAATCACTTTGATGCTCAAGGCAGGTCTCGTTCTCATTCTTCTATCTTCTTTGATATCGCTGCTATTTAAACATAAAAAATATTGGGTTGTTCGGAAAGTTCATAGCAATTTTTGTTAGCTAACAGTTGAGACACTGATTGACGCGAAAATGATTAGAATTGTACAAACCAATGAATATTACGATAAATGACCGTGAGATGCATCCATTACAAAAAAACTGTTAAAATTATTCAAATATTGTTTAATTTGTCTCGTTGCAAAAATGGATGCAAACAATGTGATTATCGATACTTGTTTCTTTTTTCTCATAAAGGCAAAAATGCTGTACAAACAGCAAAAAAAAATGTGATGTTTATGATGGGAGTGGTGTAACAGAATCAACTGTTCGAAAGTGGTTTGCAAAATTTAAAGCGGGTAATTTCAACCTTGAATATGCTTCCTGCTCAGGAAGACCACCTGTTATTGAAGAGAACCAGATCAAAGCATTATTGGATGAAAACCTTCATTACACAACTCAAGAGATTGCAGACATAGTGCAGTCATCAAACTATACTGTATTTCAACATCTAAAGAAGTTCAGATACATGAATCATTAAGACATTTGGATACCTGATGACTTAACGGAAAAGAACTTACTGGATTTCATCTCCATTTGTGATTCTCTCGAAAGACAAAATGAAAATGACCCTTTTCTGAAGCATTTAGTGATATGTGATGAAAAGTGGATCATTTATAACATCAGCTGAAAATGATCATGAGGTAAGAAAAATGAACCACCATTAAAAACTCCAAAGACCAGTTTTCATCTAAAGAAGGTAATGCTCATTGTCTGGTGGGATTGGAAAGAAATCCTGTACTACAAGCTGCTTCCACAGAATCAAACAATTGATTCTATAAGTATTGTTCCCAATTGGATAAACTGAACATGGCAATTAAAGAAAAATGTCCGGAACGGGCCAATAGAAAAGTCATTGTGTTTCACCAAGATAATGCCAGACCGCACATGTCTTTACAAACATGCCAAAAATTATCGTAACTAGGCTGGGATGTTTTACCTCACCCAACCTTGCCCCATTGGACTATCATTTGTTCCATTCTCTGCAAAACGTCCTTCATGATAAAAACTTTGACACTTTGGAAGCTTGCAAAAACCATGTGGATCAGTTTTTCATGGGAAAAACTGGAAAGTTGTACGAAGAGGGTATCATGAAGCTCCCCAAAGATGGCAACACATCATTAAAAACAATGGCACATACATAATGGAATAAAAGTATATTTTTAGTTTTAAAATGGTTTCTTCTATTTTTCTTAAAAATCGCTATGAACTTTCCAAACAAACCAATATTTATAAAATTCTATCTCTGTATAATTAGAAAAACAAATATGTTTGTTTCTTGCACTTTCCACTAAAGCCAAATAAATATTCTATATTACAAACTATTAGATTTGAAAAGCAATCACTTTTCTTTTTCTCTGATAACAGTAACTTTAGAAGAATGTCACCATCTTGTTCATTCAAACGAGCCATTTTTCTGAGTCACTACAAACTGGAAATGTGATTAAAACTTTACTCAATCATCTAGTACTGACACAAATACAACTTTTGATTTAACATCCTTCAAAATCTTAAACATAAAAGTTGTTAAAATAATATATGAAATTTCTATGAAAATTTGTTAATAGGAGATTGTATTTTATAAATTATTAAAAATGGTTTTAATTTTTTAAATTTACTTTAATGAGGTCAATTTTTAATGCACCATAATTTATAAAAATTTTTCATCACAATTTTATAAATATTATTAACTTTTAAAAGCAGTGTCAAAATGAAATCAGTTGTTTATTTTCAGAATGATGCCTTCATTGCCGGATGTCATTTTGCTCGAAACTATCCCGAAAGTATGGAACAAGTGAAGAAGTTGCAAGCTGAACAAAATGGGCCTGTCATTCAAACATATAAAGAAAAAAATGTTTCTCAATTAGGAAGTCTTCCTACAGTAACTGATGAAAAATGGAATAATGACAAACCTCTTCTTTCTCCTTTCAAGTCTTCACAAAAATCTTATTTATCGTCTTCGTATAGTACAAGTTTTAGAGATGAAACAGAACATAAAGTAACAGAAAACATTGATCAGAATTCAGCAGTAAAAAGTAACAAACTTAAAGCAGCATTGCCATTTTTATTTTCCGAGACATTAAAAGAAACTTTATGTCTAAATAAGAAAATTTCTGACTCTAGTGATATTTTAAAGCAGGAGACACTAAATTTTATGAGAGGTATAATGGATGAATGCACGCATCTTGGTAACTTTTCCATTCCAGTAGATCCTACTCTTACGATTGTTGTGACTGCACAGAGGGACGGTTATGTTTTGCGTCAAGGCATCAAGTCACTGTCAGATTTGTGGTCTGGTTGTGAAGTTAGGTATTTAGATTGTGGCCATATTGAAGCCTTTCTTTTCAATCAAGGTGTTTTCAGGTAAGACTAATAATTTTGATATGAAGTTTTAATACCAATTAATAATATTTGAAATAAATTTAAATTAGTATTTTAGAAATTATTTTGTAAATGATAGCTTTCATAATGAATTTATTCAAATGAAATTATCTTTATATGGTTGAATGCTTAAAGAAATGGAAAAGTTAGTAAGCTAATTAAAATTAGTCTACCAACTTTTCCTGTTCTTACTATTTTATTTGATTCCAATGGTACATAATTATTTAACAAGTATAACTTTAGATTTTCAATGATTTATAAATCTTATATTTAATTTTTTATATACACAAAGCAGAACTGTTTATCAAAAAACTGGAAATATAAATGGATTCTGCAAATTGTTTATATAAGTTCTGCATATAGCCAATTCTGATATTTTGCAAAATTTTCCTGGATCATAATTAACTTTCATTATACAAAATATTTATTTAACATGGTTCCTTTATACAATTTCCTTTTTCTTTTCAGGAAAGCAATAATAGATGCATTGGAAAGAACAGCTGAAAAATACTTTAATTCTGCAGTTTGAGAGATTCAAACATTTTTAGTCTTTTGCAGTGTTTTATAAAATGCATACATTTTTAAATTTACTGGCATATTCTAGTAGTATTTGAAATGCAATTGATAATGAATTAATTTTTTATATGCAAATTTAATAAATTACCAAATTCTGTATCATAATACAATGATAAATGAAAATATCATCATCGAGTAGCTTAGAGAAGTACAATTAAATTTTGCAGTTATTCCAAATAATTTGAAAATGGTCAATTTATGTCATACATATATGTTGTTTGTATATTTCTATAAATGTATTTTATATTTTATTTACAATATTGCTTATTTATGAATGGAAATGAATAATAGATTTTGTAATTTTCCATTGTGAAAATTTTTTTATTCTTTTTATAATGTTGGATTAGAAATTTATATTAAATTTGATAATTAATTGGAGTCAATTAAAGTAATGTTTTTCTTTGCCAAGTAATTCAGCCTTAAATGCTTTCTACTTAAAGAAAAATGAACTGATTTGTCCCCATTTCATTTTTAAGTTTGATAAACAAATTGCATATAATATTTTGTTTCTGAAAACCTTATAAATAGGGATGAGCTTTTCCATTATTTTTTATTGTTAAAAATTGAACTTCATTCCAACATAACCCAATCATCTTACCCATGTTCTCCAAATAAGATTAAAATATTTAAAAAAACGCCCATTTACCTGTCAACTAATGATTTTAAATTCTAAATGAAATAAATTATTAGATTAAAAGAAACTAATACAAAATGAAAGCAGGTGGATAAGAGGAGAGAGGCAAATACATGTGTTAGACGTGTATGAGCCAAATTCATCCTTAGCAAACAAAGACAAGGAAATTTCAACCTCCTTCATTAGGTGCTTGTTGGTTCCAATCTCATCATACTTATGATTAGAATATTTGATTCTCATAAATGTTAGTCATGCTCACTGCACTGAGTATTTCATATCAAATATAAGTTGGAAATTGTAAATTGGAGTCACACTATATTTAAAATTAGAAAGGTTCTAAATTGAAAGTTATTTCAATTGTAATTATTCAGAATACAGTAGACCCCCCTATAACATGGGTTCCTGTAATGTGGATTACTATAATGTGGAAAAAAAATTGTGACAGTATTTGTATAAAGACGCTAAAGGGGACGCGTAAAACATGGTAAAACGTCATCGCCAACTCGTATTGCGACAGGATTGGTCGAATCTGGACCAATAGTAGACGAGCAGCCGAACTACGGAGAGTTTAGATGGGTAAGTTGAGTTTACTATCGTCTGTACAGTATGTAAATTAGGTACCATAAGTCTAATATAGCACTAATTTTATACATTTCTTGTGAAAGAAATATTTCTTATTCAACGGCCATAAAAATTATTTATATTAATGATGTCTCCAAAGTTCAACGAATTTTTCACAGAAAAATAACTTATCAGAAATCGTGGCCACCGTTTGGTGCATTGCTCCGCGACGAGAACAAGCTTGAGCAATGGCAACGTCAAACGGTGCACACTCAGTAAGTAATCCTACAATTTTTTGTTTATAGCATAGTTTATATGGATTATTCCCAAAAAATTATATGTATTTTGGGAATATTGAGTCGAATTAGTCTAGAATCGATTGAAAAGTTTTCTTCCATAAAATTAAACAGCCGTAGTCCGTAAACTTAACACGTGTCGGGCTGTGATTGGCTCATGTATTTAAGGATTCCTACAACGCAAAATTCTTATAAAGCGGAACATATCTATTGCATTATAGGGGAGTCTACTGTATATGCATTTGATTTACAGGGTGGCTGTAATTAAAGTAGAGGTGTTTTGAGCTCAACTGTACAAAATCTGTTTGGTCCAAATGTGACCAAAATTGGTCTACATATTATTCAGGCCATGGGATTTTCATTTCTGTAATAAAAGTTTTTACTTCAGATTTTTGCCACTGGGGAAAATGGCTTGTACATGGAGTAAATAAAACATAATAAGAAAAATAGAAGGTAACAGTTGACAATAGTTATTTATAATTGAATCAAAATATAAACTATGATTCAATGTTGAATTTGTGCATTGTCCAAAAACTGGAAAATTGCATATTCTAGTGTGTAAAGCAGTATATACACAAATTTGTGACATGTGAAGTGTTATTTGGTCCTTCAAAATTGCTAAACTATCCATATGTCCTTAGTAACCCACTTTTTAATAACCCCACAATCAAAAGTTACATGGAGTGAGGTCAGGCAAATGGCTTGGCCACTTTGTAGGAAATGCTCAACTAATTATTTATTTAGTTTTCAGTGAAATGCTGTCATAGGACTTGTTATACATTCAATCTTATGTAAGATGTGTTCCATCTTACATAAGATTGACAGACAAGATGATGAACAAGATAGTACGTCACGTTACACTGTGACTTACCATGGCTACAAGGGAATCTGTTCAAATGCAAAAGGAGTCTCAGTAGTCCAAATGTGACAATTATGTGTATTAACAATGCCATTCATATAAAAATGTGCTTCATTGTTCCAAAGGATGTACCACTTCCAAGCTAGGAACAGGTGGGATAAGTGCAGGTGCATTTGTGAATCCTCTGGAAGCAGGTGTTGGATATGGCTAATCTTGTAAGGGAAATGCTTCACAACTTTATGCACACAGTTGAATATGGCATATCTAGTTGCCTGGATATTGCTTGAGCATCATTTTCCTCCTAGTGGAAAAAATCTGAAGTAAAAACTTTTATTACATAAATTGAAATCCCATGGTCTGAATAGTAGGTAGACCAACTTTGTTTAAGTTTGGCCAAACAGATTTTGTACAATTGAGCTTGAAACACCTCTATTTTAATTACGGCCATCTGGTATAAATGTGATTACATTGCCCAAAAACTAAAAAGTCCCTTTTTGTGAGAATACTTTTCAGAAAATACACTTATACCTTTTTGACAGCATGAGAATGTAATGTGAATTGAGAATCTATTTGTGAAAAGAGAAATTTTCAATTCTGCCTTACATTTGAACTAAAAACAGCTATTAGAAATTTCTGATATCTGTTTTTAAGATCAAGTCCAATACAGATGCAATTACTAATGTGGAATTGAGGATTTCATCAAAGATATGGTTCTGTGTTCTCTCCATCTCCATGCTCTCTATGAACTGCATTTTCTGTACAATGTATTTGATGTCAGGATTTCACAAATGTGATAACTTTGTCTTTTAAGATAGCTAGGTTGGATCATTTTAAGGTTGGATTAATCTGGCAGCAACTTCAATAAGTAATAAAAAGTTTGAAGCATTTTTATTATGATATGATTTCACATGTATTTGCTTCTCAATATAATTATGTAAACTTTGATCACATTATTTTGGACATTCTGTTATCAAATCAGAACTTACTATACACATAGGCCATTTGAAAAGTAACACTGTTATTTATAAATGAATAATTTTTTATAGGTTTTATCAATAGCATCTAACTCAAAACAATAGATGGATTAAAACTATAATTCAAGTAATAAGGAAATAAATTTGTGTATATACACAAATTGACTAAGGCCTTGTTATATTGTTTTATAAGACCAACTGAGATCACATAACTCACCAGTACATCCTGGACCACTAATTATATGCCTCCCATGCCTACAAACTGCTAGAAAACTGTAAATTCAATCCACATTTAACATATGCCAATGTTTAATACTACTATATTTTTTTTTTATAAAATCACAGCTAGGATTGAATGTCAGCAAAACTAGTTAAAAATTGGACATAATAGAGGAATTGCCAACAATTAAAGTGTACACAATCCAAGTGAATGCTCACTATACAAAATACCATGGGTGCATATACTTTTGGAATCAAGATGATCCAAGATTACCTTGATCATTTTAGTTCATTTGTATACACAATTTTAGAGATCCAATTAATCTCTATCCATACATACAAATGCCATCTAGGATCAACTGGATCACAAGCAAACTAATCCAAGCAGAGGGGAGGATCGCATAAAAAGATGTTTAAAATATTTTTCATTGTCAACAGTTAAACTTATAAATGGTAAGTAAAATTGGATTAAAATCATTATTAAAATATCCAATAAACCAAGATGCAAAATTCTCTTAATATGTATTTTTTCAACATTGTACAAGAAAAATGGTATGCACTCTCCCATTTTGTGAGCAATTTTATTCAGAATAAATATGATTTGATTCTACTTGTATACTTTCCATCAACCAATGCAACAGAAGCAATTCACATCACACAACAAACGATCCAATCTTACAGATCAATCCATCGGGATGCATATATTTTTTGTTTCTATCTGTGGTAATTTCAAATGACCCCTTGTAATTTTGTCTAAACTAAAAGATTCTGAAAAGGCTGGTGAACATGTACACAAAATATTGGAAAAAAACTGTGTGTTTTATAATGAATTTACATCTAATACTTCATAAAACTTTATAAAATGGACTTTTAATACAGAGAATCATTTGATATAATACAAAATTTATTTTCTTTGATCAATATTTGAAACTTTATGAAGTTATGCAATATTGTATTACAGTACATAGTACCATGCATTCAAAACTTTTGATGTTTTAAGTTACATAATACTTTCTGGAAAAACATTTTAAAAAGAAATAATTTATCAAAACCTACAGAACATATAATTTGTAAGATCAAAATATTTTCTAGCATGCATTCAAATTTAAAAAAATATTATTTGAATAGTTATCAAACTGGAAAAATTCTTTAAAAATATCAAATGATTGTCAAAATTTCTTCAGAGGCATATTTTATATTATAAATTTCTTTGAAATGATCAACATTTTGAATAAAATGTTTAAGCACTGCACATGAGACATTCTTCCTTGTTTTGAAGAGAGCATACCATTGCTTGTTTTTGTTTTTCTTGCTGAATTTCATTAGACGTTTCTGCTGTTTTTGTCAATGTTGTTTTATCTACGGTGAATTGAATGGCATTGGCTGCTGGCTTAGTTCTTAGATAATACATTCCTGTCTTTAATCCCTAGAATATGATTAATTAATGTAATTATAAAATACAAAAGGTATATCAAGTATTATTATAATTATAACTACAAATGCAAATATGTATTAATAGAGCTACAGCTTTTAGTATAAACAGAAAAATTATATTGTTGTTGTCGAAACCGTGTTGTATTTATGTATTGTATACTGGCACAATGAAGTGACTTTTCTTCAACACTAGGCAAGTTTCAATCTTTATTCAGTTAGAACGTTTTGCTATACATCTACGTTTCGGGCATTTGCCCCTCTTCAGCCAACTAAATATATATAAAATATTATATGGATACAACCGAACACAAATAAAAAACTAAAAAACGTACAAAAAATTTTTTGTGAAACATACCTCACTTCGATACAAACACCAAATATACAGTAGAACACCAGACGGTTCATAGGTTTACATAACGTTTCAACCATAAATTCCGTTTTATTTTTACAATAACATAATTTGTTATCTTAATTTTACTACTTGGATAAAATAATTGATAAACTTTACATATTTAAAATCTAAAAATTACGAATTGCTTAAAGTCGTACCATTCGTTCTTTCAAGTGTATCTCATGAGCCTTTTCTGTCACACTGTCAACTAGTTAGACAATTTGCATATGTTACGATATGCTGTGATTTTATGAGCTAACATGTCAATCAATAAACATTTGAAGGCTTGGAGGAAAATATAAAAGCTATTTTTTGATATTGTAAAGCACCATTATTTTTTTAAATTTTACATTGCGTATTTTTTTAACCTTCGTCTTTTTATCCAATTTACATATGGCATCAG